AGTAAACCCATACTGATGCCAGCAGCTTCACCAGCAACAGCGCTGTCAGTATAAAGAACACTTTTGATGTCATCATATATCTCTTCATCAGCAGTTCCTAAGGCCGCCAAACCTAGACCTAAGCATGCTCCATGCTGAATAACCTGCAATAAGAGTTGCCTACATGAATTTCCCAGTTGCTTTAAGAACATTAGGATCCGAAACCAAGCTAGCCAGGATGAGGAAAATAATCACCTCCACATTAGTACTGCGAAGACTATCACGAAGGAATTGTTTGATGCCCTCACCATGGTTGGCATGGATGAGTCCTAGGGCATATAGAGCACCACCTTCTGAATATGGACTACCGCCACTGCCAGCCCCACCCTGGGGCAGGTAAGGTGCCATCAATGACCTTCCTTGCTGTAGGTGGCCTCTGTGAATAACACCTAACCCAGCTGTCGCACTAAACTTGGCCCAATTGGTGGCCCTGCTCAACCAGTCCTGCCAATTGATAGACACAAATAGCGATACGCATGAACCAAGTCTAAGGGCTATGCCTACAACATGCACACATAGAATATCATAGAAGTAAAATTTTACCAGATTCTCCCTGAGAAATGTATCTACAGTTGTTCCAGCGTGCATTATTGCATTAGCATAAATAGTGGCACTATGGCATACACTATTTCTCATTTCAACAGACTGCTTAATTGTCTTCAAAATTAGAAGATCAGACCTATAAACAATCCACATTCATCTGAAGTCAATAACTTTTAACTATTTATTTCGACATGGAAACATTTTGTTAAAAAATAAACAGCTTTAAAAGCTCAAGTTCAATACTGAGTCGTCGTCAGTCTCACTTGTTATGGCTGTATAAGAACTGCAGAGTCAATTGTATTGATGTCTCTCCAGATAAGATTCCCTTGATTTTTGTCAGCCTTTCGGCATAAATTGTTCCTTTTGGATCTGCTTCACGCACAATTGTTGAAGTAGCTGTTCCATCAGTCATTTGGACATCTCCTGAAGCAGTGGAATTTTCATTTTGAGCAGAAGTTGTATCTACTGCCTGGACTGCCTCTGCAGGTTGAATCTTTGGCGTAGAAAGCCGATCTCTCACATTTAAGAGAAAAGCCTGGTGCTCATTCTCCACAAGATCAAACGCAATTTGAAATGCCAATAAAGCATCATCCTTATTTTCCGAATGAAGAAGCTTTTCCAATATGGTTGCAACATCTTCAGGTTTATCCAAGAACATAAGACACTGGCAAATGCTTAAATAATCTGGAGAAGCCATCTTTTGATATACTTTAACAAGAAGACAGAGCACCTGCACAGATAAACAAGTGCATACAATTGTATGCCAGGCATCCACTGTTCAGGACTTTAACAACCAACCATCACAACAGTGTCAGACAATATCAAACAAGTATTCTACCTACAGACATTTCAATACATATCAAAGGACTGAGGAAATATCGGTCTGTCAATAACTCAAAGCTTTCTCAAATTAGCAATAATCTACTTTCAGTCTACATTCGGAACAAATAATCTTCATTTGTGGATTTCATCTAAAATTTATATATTTTAGCTACTAGAGAATTGGAATCTCTTCATAGAAGTCAATATCTTACTTCCGAGTGGAATTGAGATAATATATTTCAAATTCAGACTGAACTCCACTAGAAATTCCATAGAATCTCAATTTTTATCATTTTGTAAGGGATTTTCACCACCTCATGGTTAAAAAATGTGTGGATTTCCAAATTAGTTCCATAAATAAAGTTCATTTATCCCGAACATAACCTGAGTTATAATCCCATAATCATGCTATTAGGTGGAGGAAAAAAGAATTCATGAAATCAGTATCTCTACCATTACTTCATGTTTGTTAAAGTACCAAGCAGGGAAAGCAAATTCTCAAAATATATATATATAGAACAAAAGCGCTCAAAATATATATATATATAGAACAAAAGTGCTCAAGAAATATATAATAGAACAAAGACTTCCTCCACTAAGTAATTGTCCAAAAAATAATTGTAGATCATTTTTCTTTACAAGCTTTAAAGAGGAGTAAATTACATATATTCTCCAATACTAATATCATCTAAAATATACAGTAAACTACAATATTAACTGCCTTACCTCGTGTCTATATTCTCTACGATTAACGAAGGAATGAGACACATTTATGCAATATGATAAAGTTCCCTGGACATTGTCACTCTTAACAATTGCTTCCTCAAGTTTATCCAATCTTCGGCACTCAATTGCAATTCCCATTGCTTGTTGGTATTTCCCATCAACAATACACCTAAAGAACAGAAAGCCAAGAGACTATTTGAGCTAAGAAGATAAAATTGATACAAATATATATATATATATATATATCAGCATACATACTTATCAAGCATTCTCTCCACAATCGCCTCCAACCGAGGGTCCACTTTGGCTGCCTCATCATTTGATTCCAATGCCTTTGACCTAAGACTGGCATATTCATCTATAGCCTTAGCTGTAAACAAGAACAGACACCTTTTAATGGCATTAAAATGATAGTTCTATTCCCCTATTCGCAAAAAAATGAGATCGTCCTATTACAACCTATAGATAAATTATCTCCCTCAAATTGCTTTTATCCCACAACTTTCTCCACATTTGAGTTATTATATATGTCATAAGTCATTTCTCATATGAACACAAAGTCCAATATCTTTTCAAACTGTTGGACAACCATTTTGAAGTTGTCCAATAACCCCCAGTCCATAAATCTGCTATTTATGATTTTTATCAATCCAATAAGGCCAGCTACTCAAGGTTTGTCTTTTAAGTAGAGTACGCTACCTTTTCTTCCTAAAATCAACAATTACCCCCTCTCACTTTATTGGAAACAAAAATATGCATTCTCGTACACGTAGTTCATAATAAAAAAAAGTTCAACTTAATACGTTCAACTAATATCCCACCTCCATGGCCCAAAGAAAAAGTATCCAATAATCCCAAATGATCTAGTGCGCACACACACACACAAAGCATATTCACACAAGACAAGAAACTAGAGCCTAATATCATTCTTACCAAGAAGGGTGTGAATGTAATCAGAATCCTCTGAAACATCAAATAGGGAGCCAGCTCCAAGGGCATAAGACAATGAATCATTAAGTTCACCTAAGTAGTAAAAAACCTGCAAAAGAAGCAATTATTGTGAACACAATAAATATTTCAAGAATCAAAAAAAAGAAAAGCCACTGTTCTTTATTTTTGTTTTTAGGTGCTAACAAAGAGATACTAATCCATTATAAAGCAGAAGACATGCAAATTCAAAACTCTGCAAGAGAATTACAGCAGACACATCTAACGAAGGCCAATCATCAAACCATATTACCTTCAATAAAAAGAAAATATGGAAAAATGATGCTGGGGATATCAAACAAATTTGCTTTTAAAGAGAGATTAAGTTTAAACCAAAAATTGCATTCTTCATAGGAAAACTAATCTAAGAACCCAGCATTCTAATTCCTAAAAGAGAGTTGAAAATTCAGGATATAAAATTCCCAACAATGTATTTGATGAGTTGTTATCGTGTATTGAATTTTTCATACTTAGATAGCAGTCCCTCAGTACCTTGTGAATAATCTTCATAGAAAACGTATTTCTAAGACAAATTCCTCATCTAGAAGGACAGCATGCATTACCCAAACCTTATAAATCTATAACACAGTTAATATTCCAAATTTGCATAAAGGCATGCCAGAAAATTTTGCTTACGACTTAAATTGTCATCAGAACATAATCTACAGAAGGACCAACGTAAGTGCAAAATAGACCGCCTATACCTATAAAGAACCATTCATGCATAACTAAAATGATTCATAAAATTTTATTATTCAGCAATCATGAATAAGAAACCCTTAACAGAAATTTTCTGCACGTACTTGATGAACCTACCATATATCCATTTGCAAGCATTTTGATCTGACTAATTCTTACAAGACGAACATTCGAAAAATAAAACAATATTTTTAAAGTAAATACATTTTGGCACACTTCAACGACTCCTAGTAATCTCTTCTTTAATTTTCCATCGACACGGTTATGTTGTCTCCTTCCTTTTCAATTTCTATGAATTTATATACTTCTATTTTTATCTTCTTTTGAGGATGGAATTTAACAAGTTGTAAAGACCTAAAACTTACCTTTGAAACAAGCAAAGCAGCAAGTTGTCTCTGATGCTGATCAAACTCTTCATCTTCATATAAACTTTCTCTGAATCACAAAAGTAAAATAAATTGATTAAGTGAGGTAACTTTACATCTTAATATCAGATCTCAAATAGCCGGGCCACATTAAAATAGGAGAAATTTTGAGGTCTGGCAAATTTATATGCATGAAATGACAAGTACATCAAATTTTATAGTAAAAAATTAAATATAAATGAACTGAAACAAAAAATATGCTGCCCCCAAAACCAAAAAAGAAAAAGAACAAGAAGAAGAAGAAGATACAAGTGGAATCAAATGAAAAAGAAACACAGATAGGAGGAAGAAATGTACTCCTCAACCTAATAGAAACTTTTAATTTCAGGAGTGCACTGGCCAGATCGTGCATCCATTTTTACTGCAAACATTTCAACTTCAAACCATAGGAAACTAGAAATCCAAAAGCAGATAAAATTATAACACTGGATTCTTCATGTACTAACTATCAGAGATAGCTGGAAGTACCAAAAAGTTCTTTGGATGATCTGAATCCTCCAATAAGAGCTAGTTATTACATGAAGAATAACACCATTTCACATTTCACCTCCCCGACATTCAAAAGCACAACCACAACAAGCTCCATCTTTCACTAAACATTACAAACTAATCAAGTATCGGCGTGGACTCACATTTCGAAGCTTAAAACCCAAAAATTCAAATCTTTTTCGCACCCTATTCAATAAAGTCCAGTATCGAAATTACTCGTCTTTAACGAGGACAAAACGGCACTAGATACAGAAAGTTTCAAGGTTTAACTTCTCCCTACCGAACCAAACAGATCAAAAGACACTTTCTAGGAGATAACCATCAAAATTCAGAAGATGATAAGACGAAAAGAGAGAGAGAGAGAGAGAGAGAGAGAGAGAGAGAGAGAGAGAGAGAGAATACATGATGGGGACGCTAGTGGAGATCTCCGGCCAGAACTGGTCAACGAAGCTGTTGAGATTTGAGAGTGCGTGCAGCTTTAACGAGGGATGGGGCTCGTTGAGCATCGCCAGCAGTCCTCCCGCTGAGCTCACCATCGTCGCCGCCATTGTTCTATCCTTAAAAGCCCCTATAAAATTTCGATTCAAAGATCTCTCTAAGATTAATTGCACGAGTTATGGTGTTCCGAATTTAGGAGAAGAAGAAATTCGAAACCCTAGCACAGAAGAGTGATATCAGTCTCGTGCACAGAAAAAGAAAGGGACCTGAAATGTTAATACTTGGTTTCTTTATGTGATGGGTTTACGAATCATTTGCAAACTTACCCAACAAGTCAAAAATAAATAAATATAAATATAAATATATATATATATATATATATATATAGAACTGCTACGCAACCATGGCGTCATTACGTCAATCCGGTCCGGTTCACGTTTCGCACCGGTTTGATTTTTTTGTTTTTTATTTTGGTTTTATTCTTTCTCCAGCACTTTTTTTTATGTCATCTAATTCACCCTTCACATTTTTTTGTGATTTTATAAATTTTTGGTGTATAGAAATACTTTTTATTTTCAAACATGTATTTAAAAATATTTTAATAGTTAAATATAAAATAATATTCATTATATTTTTATCACTTAAAATTATATCTGTCGTTTAATTATTTTAATAAAAATTTTTATTCACGTTTAATCGAAAATAAATATCATTCTCGTTATGTAATAAAAAAATTCAAAAAATTAAATGTTCTCCGCTTTAAATTTAATCAGAGTGTTTTAGTACTTCTTCAAACTTGTTTATTCATTTCAACCATAAATGTTTAAATTTTTTTAATGGCTTCGAATTTAGATTCATCAAGTCTATATAATTAAATTTAACAAAATTATTTATAAAAATTACAAAGTAAGATTATTTACTCAGCTAGTATATTTTGTAAATATATAGTTATGAATATTTATATCAATCAAATACAACAATCATAACACGGTTTCTCTCTTTTTTTTTTTATTAAAATGATTCTCAATTGTATTTCTAATTAAATTTGCAAGTACTAAAATATTTAGAAGATATTGATTATATTAGATTTTTTAAATTTACCGTGTAAGTTTATATGTATAAATTATTGCGCATGAAATGCTATTAAGTTAATTGTGTACAGTTATAAGTGATCTGATACAGTTAATAACATATTAAGTCTTAATGCATGAAATTAAAGTATAAACTTTATTTTATATATAAATATTGAATATGTAATTCATAATTTTGTGATCGGTCAATTATGAATATAAAAAATTTACAAGCAAAAATTGTTTATAAATAAACGGTTATGGTCCTCAAATTATAAGTATAATTTTTTTTTTATTATGATGTATTATCACCATAAATAGAAAGAGTATAATAACTTAAAAGATTACATGTTAATTTGAAAGATCTATCGCATGATGATTAGATTTATTCTATTATAGATTCAAATACACTTATATGTTTATTCTCTTTTATTCAGTACGAAATTTATTTACAGTTTTATTTTTAAATTTAGTTAATTTAATTCTAACAGATTAATTTATTTTTAATGACTCATAAGTCATATTTTTATTGATATAATATAATCTATAGTGCCGTATGTAATTTTATTTTCACGAATAGATTTTTATATTTAAGTGAAAGAATTAAAGATTCAAGACTAAAGAAATATAAACTATTTATAGTTGAATAGTGTAATATTTATTTCTTAAATAAATGTTGATTCTATTATTGAAAGAAAAGTAATATCTTCTTCATCTAATACACAAATTAATTTAATTATTCATAACACGTGAAGCATAATACATTTTGTTTAATTTTGAAATTTATATTTTAGTAGACCTACATCTTGAAAATCTATAATTAATGCGATAATTTCAGCTTCATCATTCGCTCGTAAATTTATCTTACTTTAATTTATGCTCTTCAATTTGTTTTCAGCTACAAATCTATAAAAATGTATAAAACATATGGTATATATAATATCAAATATATTTTTTCAACTAATAAACTAAATCAATTAAAAACACACTAATATGTATTTTTAACTTATAAATCTTTGAAATATATCTAATATATTTACGAGCCAGGAATAAAGCATATATTATTGAATGACGTG